AAAGGGTAAATCAGTATATTTCTATACCAAACTTAAGAGCTTTTATGTTATTGACCATTCTTTTAATATATTTTAATTTGTATTTCTATTCCAACGCACTTAGTTCATTTTTCATTTACATGACTTATTATCTTTTTTTGATCAATTATTCTATTTATTAAATATACAAACTAAAAACAAATATATTTTGTAGAAAGTAAATCATTAATATAAGATAATATATATTTAAGAAATAAAGCATGTATTTACAAATAACAAATTAGAGACATTCTCATAGATATTTAAGATATATAAAATATGTAGTGTTAATTTTTGAAAACTATAAAAATGATCTTTATGGCTTTTGGTTTCATTTGGATTTAATCCAAATACAAGATATAATTTGATCAAACGTTCTCATAATCCTTTTATTAATTCGGGGAAAATTTATCGTATACCTTATAATTCGGTAGAATAGCTAAAAAAGTTTCAACAAACAATAATTGTTCAAAATAAGGCATTTTTATGGTTTTAGTCAATATCAAATTTGTTTGTTTGTCTGTTTGTTTTGTGAATATGGTCAATGCTAAACCTAAAATGACTAATCAACACTTAAATAGTTTTTCTTTAAAAGTTTATTTTTATTTAATTTCTTTATTATTATTATTCAAAAATATTTAACTTGTCACAAGAAGAGACGAAGGAGAGGGGCAACAGGTGAAACCATGATGGTGATGACTGTAGTGTATCAGTGGCAAATAAGGGAGGAGACAATGGTGTTTTTCGAGCGCAAACATAACATAGGCATCAGAAAAGGTGATTTATGATATGTGTGTTTTAATGGTGAAAACAAAAGAGAGAATGTTTCCTTGAGTGCTCTATTAATGTGTGGTTGTATGAAAAAGATAGAAAATGATGGTGGGAGTGATTGATTGGGTGTGGTTTTATGAGAGAGAGAGAGAGAGAGAGAGAGAGAGAGAGAGAGTTGGGGTTGTGTAGGGTGGGTCTCTTTTATATTTTAGCAGAAAAGACAAATAAAAGTGTCTATGTGATTGATTGGGTGATGCCCTACCATGCTACAGGCATCGTGGTGACATGGCTTAAAGTAGGACTAAACAACCACCCCTAGGCGAGTCGGTGTGGTGTTGAGTGGCCCGACCCATGGAACTTTACGAATGAGAGATATTGTCTTCTCCCTTTTCCTTTGTATTTCTCTCTTTTGTCTTCCTTCTCCTCCTCTCTCTCCATGTAGATTATTATAGCGTAGTCGTGATGTTGAGTGGTGTGTATTTCCTAGATGTTTGGTGTGGAAGTGGAGATGATATAATGTTGAAGGGACAATACTTTTTGGAGGGGGTATATCCTATTGCCTTGTCCGAGACGACCGTGGGTTTGAGTGAGTTTTTGACTAATACCTTGTTTAGGATTCTTAAGTGTTAGCAAATAAATAAAAGAATGGAAAAAAAAGTAAGGAGAGAAAAAATAAAAGAGAAAAAGAATATATTTTTTTATGTTTCCGAGTTTAAGAGAATAGAAGGAAAATTAATATTTTTATTATTTTCTTTTCGAATTCTTCGAATCGAAAAAAACATCACAAGAAATAGTTATCCAATATTTTCTTTCCTTAAAAAACTTAGGAAGATCAATTTTGTTTCTTTTCATTCCATAAATTTAATGAAAAATGAAAATCACATTTTTCTTCTGATTTTAGTAATGAAGTTTTTGTAAAGTTTAATAAAGCGAGTTTGTTATAATAAGCTTTACAAAATAAAAGTTAGTGCAAAATAAAAAAAATAAGAACTCCTTAATATTGAACAAAAAAAAAAAAAAAAAAACAATAAGTGAGAGTAAACAAAGTAGTGTAGATTGTGGACTTGAGTCAACTTCGATACTGTACAGTAGTCAACTGCTTGTGTCCATTTGAAATGGATCCCACAATCACAGTATCATACTTCATGTGTATGGACATGGAAGCACTAATTAAGTGGCTTCATGTTGATCCTGTTCTAAGTTTCTAACTTTCAGAAATAGAAAGCCCACTTTCGTCTGGGTCCACTCCAACCTTCTCTTTAATTAATAATTCTTTTATATATTTTGGAGAAATGAAATCTTTGAAAACAACGCTTTAACTAATATAATATCATACGAATTACTATCGTTAGAAATACTTACCGCAACCATTAGACCCATCTCTACCGAAGCAAATAACACACCAAAGAAAGCTCCAGCACAAGCCAAGAAGTCTAACTTATCGACTTTCCATATATTGTAAGCTTCAGTATAGTTGATTAATCCAGGAAGTGCAGATAAGATTATCGAAGCAAGTATAGCAACTGGAGTATAGTATAGAAGCCCTGTTAAAAGCTGTAGCGATATAAGCACTGTGATAGCCATTACTATATTTGATACCGCTGTTTGACATCCAGCACTAAAGTTGACAGCGGTTCTTGAAAATGAACCTGTATAATTAGTTATATAAATATTAAAAGATTGACTTAATTGGTATTTGATAACTTTATTGATTAAGTGATCATTAAGTTAAATATTACCTGTAGCAACATAACAAGAAGACATAGATCCAGCAATGTTCATGAAACCCATGGCTATCATTTCTTTATTCCCATCCATATTATACCCTTTGATTGTAGCAAAAGATCGGCCAACTGCAACAGCTTCCTGAAAATTATATAAGAATTAAGTAATAAACTAAACATTATTTTTTGGTTGAATTTATCGGGAAATTAATTGATTAAGTATCTTGAACATACTGTTAGAGCAATGATAGCACAAACTAGCCCGATTTTGACTGATTCTCTGAGGTGTGGACTGTTGAACTCCAACTGATTAACTGAACTTGGATTCAATCCTCCTTTGAAATGTTTGATTATTTTAATTCCATGTTCATCGCCTTTTGTTAAGTAGACAATCAAGGTGGAGAGAATGACTGATACCAATGGAGCAATTGCAGGTAACCAGAATAACCGTTTGTTTCTTTTTCCCTGAATTTTTAATTTCACCATGCATGTGAATTATATAATCACCAACAATTAGTATTGATATATGAGAAAGTAAATATTTTTTATACTTTTTTTTTTCCCTATTTATCTTTTTACACATATCAAAATGACAACAAGTGTCATAAAATTAATAATATTTTAAGATATTTGTTATCATTTCAAATAGATAAAAAAAAATTGGATAGAAAGATAATTAGGAAGAAAAATAAAAGAATATTTAATTTCTCTTTATTATATTATTAAATAAAATAATTAAGGTGTTATGATGGGTTGCTTACAATAAATCTCGTGATTAAGATGAAGATGAGGAATGAACATCCAAGGATAAAGTTCTGGGGGTACCACTGTTCAAATGAGAAATAAAATAGTAATTAATTTAATTATGGGAATATTTAAAGCAAAAAAATAATACAAAGTTTAAGTGGGAAAAAAGGGTGGTTGTAAATTGTAATCTTAGGGCCTCCCACCAACAGTTTCCACTATTGATTTCTCTTGGTATATTTATGTCGTTATGTTCGAGAACAACACAACTATTTAATCATAAATAGGAAAAAACATAAAATAATTCTCTAATTATCATCCTGACAACGACTTCTCGAAAAAGTGTACTTGTATTTTATTTGAGACCAAGAAGGAAATATATTTCTCTAACCAAAAGTCAAAAAGACAAAGAAAACGTGAAAACTTACTGAATCGTGGAATGATTTAACAACGGCAATCAGCACAGAAACAACATCCGTTTTTGTGGTGAAATGACTTATCCCAAGCAAACCTTTGAGCTGTTGGAGACCGATAACAATGGCTGCACCCGCCATGAACCCTACTATCGCCGCTTGCGACAGAAAGTCGATAAGAAAACCCAGCCTACATACGAATCAACATGCAACAATAATGAACATAAAGATTCAAGAACTGAACACAAAACTTTCATCGAAAGATCGAGCTCTACCTGAACAATCCGAAAAGAGTTTGAAATGCACCAGTGAAGAAGGTGACAGTGAAAACGAGCTTATTGTAGGAGACAGGATCAGCCATCGGGTTTACTACTTTAGAGCACATGGCAGATATAAGCAGCGAAACCACAGCCACTGGACCTATGGCTAACTCCCGTGAAGTCCCCATGGTTGAATATATCAAAGGAGGTACAACACTAGTGTCTGAGAAAGTAATCAAACGATTAAGTTATTCAAAAAGGAGCGAGAGTTCTTATTAATTAATAAAATTAAAGGATATATATATTTCAAAGCTTACATAGACCATATTGAGGCTTAAGTTGCGCTAAAGCAGCATAACCAATACTCTGCAAAGCTTCAAATAAATGGTTAGTGAAAATTAAAGAGAGAAAATCGAAAGGATTGCTTGTTAATTAAGCGTTGGATTTGGTGAAGAAATGTACCTGGGGTATGCATAGACTAGCAAGGGTTAACCCTGAAAGCAAGTCGTTCTTGAACATGGAAACCTTGTATTCCCTACCCCAGTTAAGTATCGGAAACACAGAACTCAAAAACGCCATAACACAAGCTAATGGAGGTTCATGTGTTGCATTGGGTTTCTTGTTTTTCTTTGAACAAACAGCATTTCTGATAGAACCAAGAATCTCTTGGCGAAAACCAGGAGGATCAGGCGAATCAAGAACCCATTTGGTTCGTTCAGTGATTCGCTGACGATCCTCAGAACTAAGTTGCAGTTGCAACTGATCATGTCCTTCGACTGAAAAGACATGTTCGGTTGAAGGTGAAACGGAAGTTGGCACTGATGAAGAAGCCATGCTTTTGTTTCTTTGAAGTGTTTGGGGAAACCCAGGTGGGATCGAGACTTAATTCATATTACAGAACAAAACAAGCGGTTGCCAGAGAGAATATATTGATTTGCGATGACTCAAAAAATTTACAAGAGACAAGTAGATGCTAAAGGACACAGCGTAACGCAACCTACATTTAAGATGTCTTTGGTGTAATCTTTAGAAGAAAGATTTGCTGGAACTTATAAAGGTTGTAAGACTAGATGCTAATGATCTCCACAAATAGTTATTCAAATGGAGTAAAACCCACTTTTAAGGTTAGTGCTGAAACAGTGCTTCACTCGGTTAAATTGGATGCTTTTTGAACAGTGAAAGTTGAATAAGGTACCATATCATGTCTACATACATTGAACTAACAATGTGGTGCTCCTATATATAGGTCAATTATAGCCCTTTGGTGGATATGTCCATCAGAATTTGTGAAAAGTGCTTGGCGTTTGCGAATAATAATAATATAATAATAATAATAATAATATTACCATTATATGATGAAAAGTGGATGTGTAAAAACGTAGAAGAGAAGGTCGTCTTTTCAGTAGGATTTTGAGTTCGGAGGACAATGTAGTCTGGTTGCTGCATCGTTTGAATAAATGTATATTTCAATGCAAAGTAATTGAAGCTGCTTGTTTTAAGTTGATTCCGATGGTATATGATACCAAATCAACAAATGGACGGTGTACAAAATGCATAGCTTCGGGATCAATGCCCTAAAAACATTAAGTCAATATATGCTTGACGGAAGAGCATCTTGTATTTTTGTAGCAAAGATTTCATGTAGACTTTACTATTTATTTAATATGTATAATGGGAACCATATGAACGAATTTCATTCCTTGGGTGTTATATGATGAAAACATGTTAGATACATGAGAAAAAGTATATTTTTTAGTTATACAAAAACGCAAGATTCTTAGCACATAAAAGTTTTGATATTTGGCTAATTTGGTCGTTAAAGTTTTTTTTTTTTTGGTATATTAGATCATTAAATTTCATTTTACCTTTAATTAAATCATTATACAAAAAATTAGACGGTTTACCGCTTCCAATGCTTATGTGGTAGGGTGATGTGTCCAATACGGTTACATGGGACATTGATGTGTTGAAGAAGATGACTTGTCCAACAACCATTATTAATTGAAACCCTGAATCAGATCATTATTCAAATGTTTGTTACTCTTTTTTGAAAAGTCAAATCCTTTTCACCAACTCTTGCCATCCTCAAGAACAATGTATTCGAGCTCATCCACTTCAAGGAATCAACTACAAGTAACTTATGTTTAAGTGTGAAAATGGATAAACCTTTGTGATTGCGACGTTCCAGCTAAAGAACGAACGTGTTGGAAGATAACAACCCCGAGAGACATTTTTGGAGTTGTCAAAACAGTTTGGTAGGTCCCGATAATCCTAATCATGCTAACTTCGTATTTTAGGGTTTGACTTTGTGTTTCTTCGTGTAAAGTCGATCATGCCTAGATTTGTATTTTGAAAAAAAAAACGTAATTTTATTTTCTTCTTGAGGAATATTTGTGATCATGAATCAAACCCATTTCGTTAGCACATTAAAGGCAATTAATTTCGTTAATTTTTATTTACTATCTAAATCAAAGCGTTTTTATTTTTTAATGGATTGGCTATTTACAGACTAGGTTGAAGAAATGTAAATTATTTGAATGGAAAGACGAGGAACAGGAAGAAGTGTACTACAAAAACCTTATAGATTCTCTGAAGCAGAAACTGGATGTTAAAGAGGATTTATCTGAGATGAAAATTTTGAGGACACAGATTGCTAAAGTGGAGTTCATGCTGTCACAGGAGAAGTTTAAGGTGGCAAAGAGTGAGAAAGATGTGTCTGATTCAAGAAAGACAATAGGCAGGTATAAGATGATAATTGCATTGTTGTTTGCTGGCTTGGTCTTTTGTGTTTTGAAGTTAGGGAGTGATTGTAGTTAGTTCGGGTGGTTGGTGTAAGCTTTTGTATGTTTTTATACAGGTATACTAGAAAGTTAGTAATGATTGGCATTTTGTATGTTTGGAGGCTACTTTTAGTTAGAATTTGGGGGTGTCAACCTTGGTGTGTTGATGTTGTAAGCCGGTAAGTCCCTAATGAAAGGCCATTTTATAACTACCATAAAAACCAGATTAAAAGTCCCAATTGTAGGGCATTTTGTATAATTAGATGTTGGAAATGTTTATGGTATTGAAACATGCATGACTTGTTTTCCTTTTATTATATATAATTAAATTGGTTGTTGTGCATGGTATTATATTGGGAATGAAGTAGAAAGTGGTCCATGTAGAAGTACACTATGTATGGGGACCATTTGTAGTTAATACACAGTGGGTATTTTTATAATGGAAAAATGGGACCTTTGAACCCATTATAGAACCATAGTCGGGACCATATAACACATTTACATGCATGCACATTATTCCAAATTTTTCCATGTAGAAATATACAAAGCCACATGTTACGAGTTTACTTAAAAAGGCAACATACTTTCATAAATGACCAAAATATCATTTCATGTTATTAATTTACTTAAAAAGGCAACATACTTTCATAAGTGACTAAAATACCCTTTTATGTCATGAGTTTACTTAAAAAGGCAACATACATTCATAAGTGACCAAAATACCCTCTTATATCATGAGTTTTCTTAAAAAGGCAACATACATTCATAAGTGACCAAAATATCCTTTTCACATGACATGTACTTAACAAAGATAGTTACCTTAAATTCAAACAAAAATCCAGATACACACACATTAAACACAAATGAAAATTATCATCATCCTAATACACATATATTAAATCCAAATAACACAAAGACAAATTCAACACTAATCAATTAGAAGAGCTTTTCCCTTAGAATTTTGTGGATCATCAACACCACCAATTCCCTTTCCTAATTTCAGCTTCAAGATTCTCTCTGACTTTATTCTCCTTATCCTCTTCAAAATCTCTAAAATTGGTCAAACCCTTCTCTGCTGAACATGGATAATAGGAACAACCTCCTGAATTTGAACATTATGAAAAACTTGGACATTAGGAATAACATCATCATCTTAAACATTATCACCCTCCTCAGCATCCTCACATATATTACCACCATCATAACTTCAAGGGGGAGTAACTTGCATATACTTACTAAAATCTTCTACATTACTGGATTCAACATCATTAGAAGTATCTTGCATATCATTTTGAGTAGTATCCATCTCAATTGGAGTCATTTTAACCTCTTCATGTTGTTGAGGTTCACTTCTACTACCATATATGGCATGATATAATAATGTTAGTGGCAAATCATATGTAAATAAATTTAAATTTTAAATGGTTTTACCTGTCCTGCATTTTGCTTCACACAAACTTTTTGTTTCTTCGGTGTCTTCACATTTAACTTTTAGGGTTTTCTCTCTAGACAAGTGGCCTTTTTGTGACCTATCTCCTTGCATATACTATATCTAATTTTCTTTCCAGCCTTAAAAACCCTTTGTTTTCCTTTATTCTCTATAGTGGATTTCTTCCTCTTAGTAGCTGGCCTAATAGGCATCCTTCTACTAATATGAGGCAATAGTGGAGTATAATTTGTCTTTGGCCACATGTCACTGCCATTCACGAGGGAAATTCTGTAACTGTATGCCTTCCTAAATGTGGTGGTGCTATACATGTTGTCTATATAGGCTTCTACATCCCTATTAAGATAGGATATGCTAGTTACTAATATGAGGCAATAGTGGAGTATAATTTGTCTTTGGCCACATGTCACTGCCATTCACGAGGGAAATTCTGTAACTGTATGCCTTCCTAAATGTGGTGGTGCTATACATGTTGTCTATATAGGCTTCTACATCCCTATTAAGATAGGATATGCTAGCTACAGAATGAGCACATCCATATCCATTCAATTGTCACAACCTACATGAACATGTTTTCCTTTCTAACTCCACCTCATATGCATCTATTGCTCCCCTAACCTCAAACTAGTTTAATCCACTACGTAGTACCCTAATTTTTTTAAACCAAATTCACCTTATCCCTTATATCTCGACAAATATGATTTCCCTATTGTTTCCCCTTTAATTTCATGTTGTACAATCTGTCCATCATGTACAATTTTAACTCCTCTAACATGGTGATGATGAGCTTCTTCCTGGCATCTACTATTACAACATTAAAACTTTCATAGAAGCGATTTTCAACTGCATCACAACACCTTCCAAGTTGAAAGAAAGCTCTTGACTATGTTTTAGGATCTTTATCCATGAGATATTGATGGGCATATGGGTTCAATGTCTCAATTTCCTTCATCACAACTTTAAAATCATGATCAGTTGTAGCTTTAGATGCTCTTTGTCACACCCCGAAACCAGGATGGCGGAAACGTCTGGGGATGGATGACTTTCATGAACAATATCACATGGTAATATACAATAATTGATATTGCCATATTTATACATACTTTTAGGAAATATTTGAATACATGTGTATACATATTTTGGTTATTTGCAAAGAATAATGCTACTTATGAGATTAAATTGTATTTTGCAGCCAAAATAAGTCATTTTGAAGAATAAGGACTAAAAGTGGCAAAAATGGAAACTTTGGAGGTTTGGAATATTAAAGAGAAGAAAACCCACGAAAACAGTTGTATCCACGTCATGGATATCACTTACACGGCATGGAAAGGAAAATTCTCTCTCTTAGTTAAGGGGGTTTTAGAGAATCATCCGAACGAGATTCGTTTGTCAAATGGGGGAAGAGGAACGAGAGGCGTCCCTAAGCTTTCTGACTCACAAGTAAAGTAGGTGATGAGGATATTAAAAAAAGGGGCTCATTTCACCTGTCCATGCATTCGTTTGGATTCTTCCTTCTTTACCTTTTCAACCAACCCTTACTAGCTAATAGGGCTTACTAAAAAAGTGAATTTCCCGATATCGATATGCTCTGCTAGAATATACAGATAAAATATAGATCGGATCATGGCCCGGATACATTCGTCCTTTCTTTCTCCGTCTAGATGCCGAGAGAGGATGAAACAAAAAAGGTTGAGATTCGTCGTTCATTGTCTCGATTAGGTTCAGACTGGTCTGACTTCGGGATTGGGAGAGATCAGAAATAAGTTGTCATAGGCTTGGATGGAGCTATGTATGGTGAAGAGGAATGAGATGAAATGGTTCCGCATGGTTGTTCCACACTTTAGTTTAATTCAGTTCCGTCAGGGGTTCTTTCTTTAGTTCGATGCAGATTCGTAACCAATGGAAGATGAGTATGCGCAAAGTCGAAATCCTTTCCCGATAAAGATTCATCTAAGTCCACGATGTGGAATGTAATTTTATGACAAGTATTTATATCTTTAACACATACAGGTTTAGAGGTTGGTTTTTGGAAGAATTGAGTTTTAGAAGTCATTTTTCAAAGGATTACAAGCCAAAAAACCCATAATTTCAACCAAGGAAGAAGAAGAAGATCATAGTTTATTCTTTGTTTGGTACATTACTATGTCTTTAACTATGAAGTTTGTTAGTGTGATTGCTTTGATGAGTAGCTAAATCTAGCTGCTTTTGTTAGGTAGATGAAGTTGGATCTCATGGTTTGTTAATATTAATTTAGACTTTTCTAGTTAGTTAATTTCTTGTGTTTGATTGTTTATACCTAGCCTGCTCAATTTGATACTTGATAGCTTTGATTCATATTTTGTGTAGTTTAGTGACCATTAATCTGCATGAATTTGAGAACCTAGTAATTTAGTGAACATTATATTATTAGAGCTAAGATCAAACCAATCTTAGAGAATCAATTTAAGTATTGAATTTGGGTATGCTAGAGAACTCATATTGTGACCACAATTGTGTTTGTTAACTCAATCTTACATAACTTTAATCCTACCTAATAATTGATTATGTGTTAAATTATGTGTGACCATGCATAACTCTACATGAATTAATTGAATATTGGTAAATTTGGAATTGAATTGCTAATAATATTTTAATTGGTAACCAATGAGAATTGTTATAATTAATATTTAAACCATTAAGAGAAAGTGGATTCAAACTAACGGAAGTGTTTTTATAATTTGATTGAATAGTTGTTGATAAATTAAGTTCATCTAAACTTGCAAAATTAGGTAAAAACCCATTTTATTTTTGTTAGAATTTTAGACTAATTTAATAGTAAGTAGGTTAAATAATTGATTCTGTTCACTGTGTTCGATACCCGACTTTTGTGCTATACTATTTGCGAGGGTTACACTGCCCTGAGTCGAATAGAATAGGTAAAATGAGGTGTAGCTGTTTCAGACACATCAAGTTTTTGGCGCCGTTGCCGGGGAGCGACTTATTTGATTGTTAATTTATTTGCTTTAAGTTAATCGACCCTTTTTGTGGGGTAAAACCTGCAAAAAGTTAATTTTCTGTATTAATTTTTGTTTCAGGTCTGAGACCACAACGTAGACCTTAAGTACAGAATGTAGGTTCAGTTAGGAAGGTATTTTTAGTATTTTTAATTTTTTGTTATTGATCAGATTTACGTTTTTGTTTTTGTTTATTTTGCAGTAGTTCATGACCAGTGGTTCCAACAATCCTTTGGTACCACCACTTGAAGATCCAGAGTCGGCCCTTCACAAAAAGATGGATAAAAGCATGCAAGAAGATCAACCACCAAAGAGCTCACCATTTAAAGACCTTAAATCAATATTTGGAAAGAAGAAAGGGAAGAACGTGGGAGAGTCAAGTACATCTTCGAAGGACAAAAGTAAAATTGAAGATCATCATTAAATACATAGTCCACAAGAATCCGAATGCGAACCGAACCTGAATTCGAATTAGAGAAAAGCGAACCCGAAGACATGCCAAAAAACAAAATGAAAACATTGTGGATATGTCCATAGGGGCATACAATAAGCGAATAAGAGATGATGCTGGTCCTGGTTCAATACAACCTACAATTCCTGCCATTGCAACATTTGAGTTGAAAGGGCACATCCTTATTGCACTTAAGGTTGTACCATTTTTTTGGGAAGGATCATGAGGATGCTTATAAACATTTAGATGAGGTCAATGACATTGCAGATTATTTCAATGTCACGAATGTTCCAAGAGAGATTGTGTGGTTAAGGATGCTTCCTGTTACTTTTAAGGGAGCTGCAAGAGACTCACTTCCACCCGGTGCAACTACTATTTGGGCACAGATGCGTCATCATTTCTTGGAACAATTCTGCCCACCATAAAAAATATCTAAACTCAAGAAGGCAATATCCAACTTTGATCAAAATCTGAGTGAATCACTTTATGAGGCATTTGAGCGTTATAAAGGGTTACTAAGAAATTGCCCTCAAAATGACCTTAACATACAACAAGAAGTGTCTATCTTTTATGACAAGGTGAATTTCATAACAAGGCAACTCATTGATTCTCAAGGACCACTTACTAAGAAAAATATGGGTGAAGAAAAGGAGTTGATTCAAGAGTTCTCAAAGCATTCTCGTGAATACCATAATCCAAGACATGACGGAGCTAAAGGAATTGGGGGAGGAAATTCTGAAGACATAGCTGCTATACTAGCTATGCTTGATACCATGGATAGAAGAATGTCCAAGATGGACCAATCAATTCATGCACTTAGAGTTGGTTGTGAAAGGTGCAATGGTCCACACTTAACAAAAGATTGCCACTTGGATGGACATGGGAAAAAAAGGTGCAAGTTTGCTACTCAATTGGGGACAAGTATGATGAAAATTGGAGGAAACCAAAAAGGGAGTGGTTACCATATGATGAATACAAGAAGAAAAAAGAAGAGAAGTATAGTCAGATTGACCGAGGCTTCTACTAAAAAGAACAACCATCTCCCGAGAAAAAAGTTGATCTTGAATCTATGTTACATAGATTTATGGAGGTTTCTGAGAAAAGGCACGATGAAACAGATGCGGTGATAAGGGAACATTAGAATATCAGGAAGGAACAACAAGTCTTGCTAAGAAATCACCAAGCATCGTTCCAAAATATTGAAATCCAACTAGGTCAATTAACTACTCTAGTAGAAGATAAATTGTCTCCAAAAACCCCCGAAAAAAAGCCTCAATCACATGTTATGGTAATAGAAACCGAAGAGGATACCATTTCTGAGTTCCTTGAAGCACTAGAAGCCGATCCACCTCAGTCCGAACTAAAGCTAAAGAAGTCCAAACTCGAATAATATAAACTTGCCGAAACACTGAAACCACAACGTGGAGATCCAATTTCCACGATGTGGGATAGCTCTGATCAGAAAAATGTGGATAATGTTCCTACTTATCATCCTCCTTTACCATTTCCTTCCTGAGCCAATATCCATCCACTGGAACAGGAGCATATGAA